ACAGGGAACTGAACCCCCCAAGTCCTAGGCTAGTGCCCTAACCACTGAGAGAGACTGGTACTGGGGGGAGGGTGGAAGTGAGGGGGCTTCCCCAAAATGCCAGGAGCCCAAAGAGCCAAAATAAAGAACTCTGAAGAGCCTGGGTCATATAAATAAATAACAATACCTGCCCTTCTTCAGCAAGGGACATGACGACAATGTTCCAGCCCCTCATGGTTATTAAAGATCCCATCGTGACAGTTTCAGCAAGAGCAGGGGTGTTCTGTGTCCCGGTTCCTGCCCAGCTTCCAACAGAAGTATTTCAATTCCATGTCCCTAAATCCCCCACTGGGATTTCCCTGGATACAGCATCTTCTTTCTTTTCCTTTCTACCGTATTGACCTAACTTGGCCATCTTTCTATTTCTCTCTCACTGTCTATGCATCTTCCTTCTTTCCTCTGCTCTCCCTGTGCTTATCTTAGTAGAATAATGGGAGTGCTCCTCTACAGCTCAAAGCACGTCATGCCATTTAACAAAAAGACCTACATCCACAGTCCCTCTTTGCAAATGAGCTTTGGCCTCTTTTGTGTCTCTCGAGGTGCACGTACAAAAACAGAACAACTCGACCATTGCTAACATGAGACAACATCACTTACAAAGAAACCTCCCAGAACCAGGCCACAATTCATCGGCCTCGCCACATGACATGAAGGTCAACAAACTGAATGGGGGAAGTGAATGCTAGGGTCAAGGGCCCTCCACTAACATTGCTCTGTCCCCAGCATGCAGTCATAGAGATCCAGGGGCTGTCAACATAGCTATCTCAGCTGATCTCAAATGCTGGGCTGGAGCCTGAAGAGAGAAGGTATGTCTGAGGAAGCCAGGACCCTATCAATACAGGGCTCCATGGATCTAAATGTCCTAGCAACAAACTGGAAGCCAAAGCAGACCATAGGGCACTGGGATAATATGTTCCCCATAAGAAGCGCTTGCTCATGAAACAATCAGCTGCATTCTGCACCAGACAAAGCTCGCAAGCGTTGTTCCGGGATAGCCCCAAGGAAAGCCCATCAGATTAATCCAGTCTGGAGGTAAAAGAGACCAGGATTCCTGAGGTGGAGTCTGTAAGTACAAATAAAAATATTAACCACTGCTGTGACCTGGGGACTCAGGAGCAGCTAAGGATCCCAAAGGGCCCTTTGAGTATTAACCTTATCAACAAGAGATGGGCAGACCCGATTCAGAGACGCTGGTATTGTCTGCCCCATCACCTGTCTCCGACAACCTGTACGAGGCCACAGCTCTGATCCATGACTCTATCGTGGCTGGACAGCAGGAGAGCCATGAAGCCACACTGTCTGAGGCAGATGGAACAGAGCTGTAGGGCTGAGTTTCTTCCACATGGTGATGGAAGTTCAGCCCAGACCATTCGACACTCTCCCTTCACATACGCACTGGGCAGGTAGGGGTAAGAGTAGAACCCTTCAGTACCCTAGGCAAACAAACAGAAGAGTAATTGCCCAACCCCACTCCCTGGGATCGCTCTGAGAGGAAAGGTCAGAGGCAGTGCAACTCCATTTACTTCTGCCAGGGTCCACAGCCTTCACTTCCTGTCCTAATCTGTGGTGCAGTGTCATTGTGCCTGGAGACCCAGCTGCTGTGTTCTACCAGATGTGGCTGCATTTCTGTGGTGAAATAAGCTGTGACATTTTGTACCTGGGGGAGTGCCCTGTAACCCCCATATTTCTCATTTATATACGATTGTGATCTTGCATATAGAGCATGCCTTGTAAGGTATCAGGGGAAAGGTTATGATTTGCAGAAAGTCATTTCTCTCTCCCGTATATGTGTATCATTAATGCATATGAAGTTATGAGAATTGGGTCGTATGGTGGTCACTAAAACATGCTGTAAGTTGGGGAATCAGCCAGATATTAGCTCCCCAGAGGCAACAGCAAGGAAAGTAACCAACGCCCAGGCGGGGTGTCAAACAACCCATCAACAGCCATTGTCCAGCAAGGGAGCTACAATGCAATGACTCACCTGCATGAGGCCACACCAGGGGAATTGCTCAATCTTGCCTGGAGACTCAGCAATGCCCCCAGACATGCCTGGACTTATGTTTTCCAAGCACATGGACTGAGCGTATAAAACAGACACAGGGGCCACATGCTGGACCTTTCTCCTTCACCCACCTACGCTGCAAGCAACAAGGACACTCTGAAGACTCCAACTGAGGGCACTGGCCCAGATTTCAATGGTGAAATCTGTGTACTATAAACTGCAATATCCAGTGGGGTGAGAAAAACTGCTTAATCTAGATGTTGCCCAGTCTAATAGGGTTGAGAGGTTAGACTGCGTGCTTATATTTTCTTTTCTTTTGGTAACTAACTCTGACTTTTTGCCTATCACTTAAAATCTATCTTTTGTAGTCAATAAACTTCTTTTACTGTTTATCTTTACCAGAGAGTTTGCCTGAAGCTTGTGGCAAATGTGCTCAGGTCTGCAAAGGCTGGTGTATGTCCACTTTCCATTGATGAAGTGGTGAACCAATTAATAAATCTGCACTGCTCGTCTTGAGCAGTGTAAGACAGTTTATTCCTGAGGTACAGTGCTGGGAACTGAGGGGATTTGGCTTTGGTGCCTTTTTCTGTGTGATTCATGCGTGGCTCGGGGAACATTCATGCAATCTAGCTGGGTGTTGGGTCTCCACATGTGGTTGTGCTGAGTGATAACAGCACCTGGAGGCATTCGCTCCTTGTCACTAGCAAGGCATTGAGACCAGCCCAGGCAGGAGAGAGTTCAGGGGGCACAGCGGTCCCACAGTCTCAGGCTGCACCTCGGAGATCCCATCACATAAGCAATTAAATAAAATGCAGTGACTCTATGGCCTCATCGCTCTAAGTTCCCCTGCCAAAATGATCCTGGTGGGTTGGGGCCAGGATTTGGTCAGAGTACCTGACCATATCAGTCACCTGGCCAATGGGAGGCCACCTGGGCAGATGCTTCCTGGATCCTACATAGGTTCAGCCCTGTGGTCCAGCCCCACTTGGGTAAGGACATCCCACCGGACAAGTGAGCAATCCCCTCTGTCTTCGCTTTCATGTGTCTGACAAGGCTGGGGCTCCAAGCAACAGCTCATGCAGGGAAGAGTTCTCAGCCGTGAAGATGGAGGAGCAGGTGGTGTTACTGAGAAGAAGCTGGGATAGGAAATAGCAACTAAGCATTGCAAGTGATGTGAAAGCCAGGAGCAGGCCCAGAGAGGAGCTCACAGAGGCAGCTCAGTAGGCCTAAGTGGAGCAGAGTCTCAGAGAGTCCAAGCTAGGGAATGGAAAGGGGCAGGCAGGTGGTTGCACAAGCTACCAAAGGCCAGAAGGGAATCTGGAATGCAGGCCTCAAATCCAGAAGAGCAGAGTAGGAAAGTCAGAGGCTGAAGCAAGGAGCCAGAAGAGCAGAGCTGACTGCAGTGATGCAATAGAACTTGGGCTATAGGCAGCTGGAGGCTTAGTGGAGGGGGAACTTGGGGAGGCAGCGATTTTGGTAATTCGGTCTAAGCATCAGGACCAACATCTGATTGTGGCTGCCTCTTATCTCAAATTGAGCCCCTTAAAATCAGTGGCTGCTTTGGAAAACACAGCTGTGATTGCTCGACAAGGACCGAGCTCAGCTCTCCAATTCCCAGCCTTGCCCTTTATCCAATACCTCATGCTTCCTGCCCTTTAGGTCACCCTCTGAAGCATTCAGCACCTACAAGTGAGAATGACTTGAATCTAAAAGCACATCACGGCCCCCCAGCTGCTCTGACAAAGAGCCGACCTTAAAATAAACAAATACAAGTTTCAACAGGCCAACTCTACACATTCATAGTTTTTAAACTACCAAGAGTATTTCCTTCAAATCTGACTTATTTTGTAGATTTCAGTGAGCCTGAAAAATCAAGCCAAGTCTGAAGAATACATGTACCATCATTCTATAACTTCTTGATCCTGATTTGCAACTACACTAG